GGGGAGGGGAAGAAAAGAAGAAGAGAACTCATTTATGTCAAGTCCTGTGTTCTACATGTTATCTGATTTAACCTACACAAAGGCCTGCCAGATGGTAAACTGAAGCTCAGAGAACTTCAGTAAATTGGCAGAGGTCCCAATTCAGAGGAGCTGGGATTCAAAGCCAATCCTAGCTCCCTCTCTTTACAACACTCTTGCTTCAGCTACAGAGAATACTTCCCTCTTTATCTCCTCTTTTGCTCTCTGATTCAAGGTCCTCATTCTTATCCCAGGAGATGAAACAAAATCACTGGTGACAAGAATGGATCCAAAAGATCGAGCCAACTTTGGAAAGAAAACACCTCAGCCCTGTTTTATGAGGCTATGATGATGCTGGGAATCACTCTGAAGGAAAATGATAGAAATAGCTCTTGTCTTCGCTTTAACCTGCCAAAGCAGACAGTCTTCAGGTTGTGGGCACTGTGTAGTCGAGATCCTGGCACACATATGGCACCTGTGGAAACAGCTGTTTGAAGAACGTTCCTGCCAAAGGAAGTCAGAGTGATGGTGAGGACACCAGAGAAGGGAAAGGATTCCAGGGCGGTAAGGAAGGAGAGGGTGCGCTAAGAAAGACCCAGGAAGTAGCTATTACTTCCCGGGTGTGCTCAAGGGCAAAGTCAACAAAATATGCATGAGTAGGAAGGGAAGGGAGATGAAAATTCTACAGTCACCCCTTCTCCTGTGTTTTTCTCATCTTCTTCCCCAGAACCAGCCCCGGCCTTCATCCTGTATCTTGAAGGTCTCCCTGTTAGCTGAAAACACAAAGGAGAATTGCTAGAGAACAAATTGTAAGCTTGAGCTGCTGGCAGACATGAAACAGGAAGAGCCTGCCTACAGTGGCATCAGCTCAGAGCTAAAACACAGTGATAATGTCATTTAAGTCCTCGGATCCAGCCGTCCTTGAAACTCTGCACTTCTTAGGTATAGGGACCAAAAAGTTTGCATTTAGAAATTTTCAAAGGGGTTTCTGTCACCTATAATAATACTACTATGAATAAAATCCTAACTGAACCTGCATTAGCACATCTAGTACAATTTCAAGAATAGATTCTCTACAGAAGCCAGTGCAGGATGTAGAGCCACCTACTTGGAAAATTAGGAGTCCAGAGCACCAGAGGGAAGAAGAGAGCTGGACAGCCCCTGCCTCAGGAAGCAGAGCTCCAGGGAGGGAGTAAGATCTCAGGGCTGATCACACTGTCTGGAGTTCTGTAGGGAGGCTAGGAGGAAGCATAGAGCTTTTCCTGAGGCTGTTTCAAGTAATGATGGTAGCTACCTTCTGCTGAGCCCCTACTATGTGCCACAAGGTGCTGTATATATTATTTATATCACCCTCACAGCAGCCCTGAGAAGTAGATATGCTACTGGCATCGTTTTCTAGATGAGAAACTGAAACTCAGAGTGGTGAATTAACTTATTAGTCACATAGCTAGCAGAGTGAGGATTCAAATCTAGTATACTGGACCCCCAAACCCGTGGTTTTATTTATTTATTTAAAGATTTATTTATTTATGCATGCAAGAACTGGGGTACAGGCCAGAGGTGTGGGAGGTGAGAGGACAGAGACAGAGTGGGGAACAGAACAGGCAGATCTACTGGAATACACTGCTGAGGGGAGCAGTTGGTGAAACAGGAGAGGTCTGCTGCTCCATGTGGGTAGCTCCCTGGCCGGGGATTGAACTTGTGCTGCAGTGGCTGCGGACAGCTTCATAAGTTGTGTCCCAACTCCATGCGCCACCAGGGAGGCCCAAAGCCGTGCTTTTAACAACTGTATTATATTCCTTCCAAGATGGGTGCGTGGGGCGGGGAGGTTGTCTATATCCTGTCTAATATAAGGCCATACTAGATTATATATATAGGTTATATATATTATTAATGATCTTATCCCTCAAAAGTTTATAAAGCCCAATTTCTTATGGAAGCTCATTGCATCCATTTTATGGATATGCAAACCAAGGCTCAGACATAGGAAGGGACTTGCTCATAGTCACTTGGGCAAACAGGATGAATAGCCAGAAGTGATACTTCTCAAATTGAGCAACCAGTCCATAGTCTGTAGAAACTCGTAGTGTGAGTGCAAGAGGTGTAGGCTGGCCTCACCACCTTGACCCATATTTAAGGACAGGGATGATATCAGTCTGGCTAAAGAAGATCTCTAAAAATGAGCAGACCAATTAGTGCTGTGGCCACAGATCTAACTGCAGAACAGAAATCCCACTACAGCCAAGACTTCTGCATCTACAAAAAGATTCCCAGCTCCAGTCAAGGTCCTATTTATTTTTCAGCAACACTTGATATGAATGAATTCCAGTTCAAGCAGGGAGTCTCAGCTTCCTGCTGCTCCCAGGAGGAACATGGCTATGAAAGGAGCCCCTTTCTTCCACTGGGCCATCCTCAGGAAAAAAAAAAAAAAAAAAAGAAAGAAAGAAAAGAAAAGGCTGCAAGACTGAGCTGAGGTACCCAGGAGTGGGAAATTGGAATCTGCTTGCCTGGCTTTCTCCCACAGGAAAGTAGTTGTTCCAGCCCAAGCCCCAGGGGCCTTCAATGTTGGGCCTGTCCTGATGCTTTGCTGAGCTTAGAGGCACCTGTTCTAGACAGACAAGGCAAGGGTGTCTTTTACCGTTTCCTGGGTAACTCCTGCCTGGAGGAGTGAACAGGCAGGGATCCAGGTGACAGGACAGAAGGAGCCAGGGCAGCCGCTGTTGTTCACTGCTGGAAGTTTGCCAGGGGACTGGAGCATGAGCTGCAATTCCAGTCTCTTCCTCACCCCCCACCCAGATCACTCTACCTTTGATGGGGAGCTGGGGAGGTCTAATCCTAGACCTTCCTTAAAGCCAGATGAGCAACCTTCTAACTTCTAGATTTATCTTCCCACAAGCAGTCTGTGACCTCTGTTTCTAGGGCAAGTCAGGAATAGAAGGAAAGAAGTAGGCTCATGAGGTCTATCATAGCATTTCTAGACCTGGGAAGTCCAGCACAGGTTCTGGGGACAGAGAGTCTGAGTTTAAAAATCCTGGCTCTACCACTTGCTTTCCTTGGGCAAGATCTTAACTTCTTGTCATACCTTACTAGTAATTATTGAGTGCTTTCTACATGCCAGGGAATAAATGAGAAATTTAAAAAATGAACTCAGATAGCTTCTTGGAGTTTACAGTCAGAGAGAGAGAGAGACAAACACTAATCAACCAATAACACCCACCCACCCCTCAACACCACAAAAAGTAAAATGTCCAGAATATATGTACACATATTCAGGCATATATAATTAGGGAGTATGTAATTAAGGAGAATTCCCTCACTCTGGGAGGTCAGAGAAGGCATTCCTAAAGGAAAGATAATGGAGTTCACATCTCAAAAGAAAAAAATGATAATGACTCTAACCTCTATTAATTGAACAGGGTAGGAGGAGATAGTCCATACGGAGGGAACAGGCTATTCAAAGGGAATTCATTTGGCAAGAGGGAGAATGGTTCCTCCAAGAAACTAGAAGGCTCATGAAGCTCAAGCACAGTAGAAAGGCAGGTGGGGGCAGACCATGTAAGAATGCGGGTCTCTATTGTAAAAGCAATGGGAAGCTCTTTGTGGTGCTCTAAGTAGGGAGGTGAGATGATAACACTTGTGATTGGGAAAGATTGTTCTGGTAGCAGTGAAACACACATTAGAAGGGAACCACGTGGTATTCAGGAGACCAGTTAGGAAGCCTCAGATATTTCCCCTTAAGTTATTGTGAGGTTCAGTGAGATACCACATTTTAAGTGTTTTATTCCAGTACCTGGCACATAGTTAAGGTTCTGTCAATGTCTTTATTACTTTTATTGTTAGCTCTCTTCACAGAGCATATCTTTCTGCTTCATGCCCGCTCCTGGGAATGGGATGGGGAAGGATAGTGGTGGTTTCTAGGGTGGAAACATGGCTTGTAAGTCACAACATCGAGGACAGAACCCAGGATGCCTGAAGGACCCATTAGAATGTCTTGTAAGTATGAAAGATTCGCGAAGAAAACCGAATTCCAACTCTCTGGGAAGCAAGCTGGAGACAGGTGAAGACCCTCCCAAGGGTATAAGTCCTGGTGTTGGGGGAGACAAACTTGCTTTTCTGCCCGATATTCCAAAGAGCTGGTGTAGGGGGTCACACTCGGGAGCGCAGGAGCTATTCCTCAGCTCCAAGCTCACCTGAAGGCTTCCCTCGGAAGCTCATATACCCCGCCCGGGTAGAGGGTGCCAGGCCTGGGCATTGGGTATTAGGAGGAGGGAGGGTCCAGCGAAGGGCACCTCCAGCCGGTCCGCAGAGGCTGCCCTCTCCCCGGCCACGTGACCTGGTGGGTGGGGCCCGGCCTGAAGTTGGAGAAATCCCGAGCCGTCCCAACTTGGGGAGTGTGCCGCGGGCCCTCCGAAGCACCAACTGTAGGCATTGGGCTCCGGCAGTGGGTGCGGTGCTGGACATTTGCGAAGTGCAGCAACAGTGCAGGCGGCATGACCCAGCTGTCGGTGATTCCCGGGTCTGCCACGGCGTGGGCAGGTGAGTGGGACCCGCGGGCGGCGGGGGCTGGGTTGGGGGGCTGCTCCTGCTTTGGGCCGCCACGCTCCATCCCGGTCCTGGGAATGCGGGGCACTCACAATGAGGAGTGGGGCAATTGGCTAAACAGACGCGACGGACCCTTGGCGTTCTGACTTAGTCCCGGTCGCGTCGCCACTCTGGGCTGGCAGCTCTGCCCCGCAGGCGGCCAGCAGCGAATTGCAGCCACCGCGGCTGCAGGAGCCGCGCGCCCACCCCAGCCCCTCCGGCCCCGCCCCTCGGCCCCGCCCTCTAGGCTCCTTAGGCCCCGCCCCTAGGCGCCGTCGGCCCCGCCCCAGGCGCCGTCGGCCCCGCCCCCACCGGCCCCGCCCCCGCGCGCGCACTGGCTGGTCCCCGCGACGTCACGCTCGGCTATAAAAGCCGCGGCGCGCGGCTCTCGCGGCGCTGGAGGAGCTCGAGGCTGAGGGCGGCGGGTCTGCGCGGAGCAGCCGGACCCCGGGCGGCGGGCGCCTCAGAGATGTTTTACTCAGGGCTCCTCACCGAGGGTGGCCGCAAGGATTCAGACATGAGGGAGGCGGCGTCGCTGCGGCAGCAGCGCCGGATGAAGCAGGCCGTGCAGTTCATCCACAAGGACTCCGCGGACCTGCTGCCCCTGGACGGCCTCAAGAAGCTGGGCTCGTCCAAGGACACGGTGAGCCCCGCGGCCGCGCCCCCGGCGTCCCCGAGCGCGGCGGCCGGTCACCTGCGCGCCCCGGGGCCCGCCCATGGCCGCTTTCACTGAGTCACCCGCCCCGGCTCGGCTCGGGCCTGGCGCCGCCGCTGTCCACCCTCTCGCTGGGGCCGGGTCGCCGACTCCTCTCCCGCCGGCCTCCTCCTGCCGCGGGTGCCGGCGCCGCCCAGTCGGGCTGGTCCAGCTCGCGTTCCCGGCGCTCAGCTCCCTCCCGTCGAGTCTCTCTCCTCGGGGGGCCCGAGACCCCGCCCCGCCTCGTGCCCTCGGGTCGCTTTCCCCTCCCCGGCTCGGGATTCGATTGCTGGGGCGCGCGCCTCGCCGCGGGGACCGCTCGGCGGGTCCCGTGATCTCGGGGGGAGACTCTCCAGAGCGAGGAGGGGCGCGGGGTGGGGGCGAGGCTGGCGGGCACAGTACCCAGATGACTTTCGTTCAGCTCATTCTCCCCTAGCAAGATCTACTTGTCCGCTTGATTTCGGTCTTACCTACCTACCTTTGATTTTCCTGAACCCCAAACATGGCATCATTCTCCTGTCTTCTCTTTCTCCACCCTGACCTCCCTTCCTGCCGCCCCTCCCGCCCCCCAAGAGTGGCTGGAGTGTGGAAACCAGGGTGCTCCATCTCGCTGACCCGAATGTGTGGAGCTGGGGCTGGGACCGGAGAAATCTTTCTAATAGGATGGAGCTTTAAGGGGAAACTGCTGGACTGGCGGTCTGGGCTCAGATGCCGCGGTGTCCTCTATTTGTAGGGCAGGGGATGGATGGCTAAGGGTTACTAGTTTAAAAAACTGTGTGTGACCTTTAGCCTTCAGTCATTATGGTGGTGCTGGGCCAAATTTATGTTTGGCTTTGTAGTTTTATCTGGAAGTTTTGTGATTTATTTATTTTTTGGATAGTTTACTGATTTCCTTGATTTTCACTTTATTGGTCAGGATACTAATCTGGACAGTAATTTATGAAGTATTAATTGTTTAAATGAAGTAGGTACTCTGCAGAATTTTCCCTGTACTCTTTTGAGTCTTTGGACATTTAATTTAGCAGGGAAGAGGGGATGTCAGCCTGGTTCACTGAAATTGTTATGTCCAGTCTCAGTATGTCTGTGCAGGTCAGCGCTTCTGAATTTACTTCCATTTCTTTCTTTTACAACAACTCTAATGACACACAGAGTCCAATAGCATCTTTGCCATCCCCCACTGTGATAATTATTTTAGTTATTTGTGTGCAGGGAATGTCTATCCAGATATCATGCTGTTTTTAAATATTTTTCCTGCGTGAGCCACAAGATGGTCAGTGTGATTCATGCTAACTCAGAGTGGTGAGTGAAATGTATTGTTGGAAAAGAAATCTCCAAGTCTTCTTCTTCAAGCAGTCTAGCAATTCATTTAGCAAATCAGGTCCAAGTCTTCTTACCTTCAGGCCAAAATAAAATGAGTTCCTGGAAGTTCCAAGAATCAAAGAGGGAATTATTAGGAGGAGAACTAAAATGTGGAATGTTTTCTTTTTTCATGCTGGATACAATTGACATTTGTTTTTCCTGGTCTGTCAAGGATTTCCCTGGCCCTGAGACTTTTCCCTCAATTCTTCTGCCTAGCATTCTTTATACTACTTCGTCCTATGTAGAAAGAATTCTCTGTGCTTTTCTGATTCCAGCCTGTCTCAAGTAACACTGGAGCTGATAGCATAGAGCATAGGCAATAAACTAGAAGGAAGAAGCATCCTTAGGAAGCAGGTTATTGACGTGGATGTGACACATAGCAATTGACTTTGAGACTCTGAACCATGATTCACACTTTCTGAAGTCTCTCTCTCCCATTGCCACAGAGTCAATATCTCTCTTTCACTGTTCTCACACCTTTAATGTGCAAATGATTGCACAGAAGAGCTAGAGCAGGTCATAAAAGCCAAAACAGGCTGAGGTAGGAGAGCTGTGAGTACTGGGATGAGGTGGCATACTTAAGATCTCTTGGAACTGATGTTGCTGCCTCAAAACAATCTTAAAAATAACCTTGGAATATCCTCTTGTCATTTTATGGATACTTCTAGTTGTATAGACTGATATTGACTCAGTTTTCTTTCACTGAAGTAAAATATGGAGGATGCCAAAATTGACTGAGTAGTTCTTATTTTGATTGAATTGTTTTTGAGTCAGGATCTGGTGCAAACTGAAGTAGGTTATTGTACTAACTCAGTAGAAGTGGGACAAGAAAAGAGGAAGAAAAGACACCAAAAGGAGATGGAGGAAAGACAAATTTGTTTTACTTGACGCTGAGGTTTGAGCCAGTGAGAAGATTGTGGATAATTTTTCTTATCCTGTGATCTATGTTAGAATTATACTGCTGGCAAGGGACTATAGTGATGGTAAGGGTGAACTGGTGGTAGGAATTCCACGGGGACTCTAGATGAGATGATAAAGCATACATTGTATAAAAATGAAGAATGATGTAAAACATATATAATAATAAAAAAAAGAATGTCATTGAAACCTTGATAGGGATTACATTAAATCTGTATATTGTAAAAAAAATAAATTAAAAAAGGAATTATACTGCTGGGTTTTCTGAGTTATCTACCTTTTCCCATGCTGTTTCTATAACGTTCACTGTTTAATACCAGCCTGCCAATGCTTTTTTTTTTTTAATTGGCAAAGAGAACCATAGGCTATCAAAAGTGGTCTTGTTCTCTTGTCTCGAGGGAACCGCTTTTGTCCTATTCCTGCTTCTGTGTAGTTGGCTGCAACAAAGTCTGCTGTGAAAATTAATCTTATTTCTTATGTTTGACTCTCTTGCATTGCCTATCCTTTTATCTTGTGCTATTTTTTCTCTATTAGGTTAGGAACTAAAATCATAGATATGAATGAGTAATATTTTATCTGATTTATTATTTTAAAAAATCTTGATGAAGCTGGAGAAACAAATCTCCACTCTTAGAGTTTTGCCTATTGTAATTTCTTTTGTTTTTTGGGTAACAGCTTCATAAATGTTCTTTTCATTGAGCTAAGGCCTTTTTAATTTTGAAAAACAGTTATGTCATGGGATAATATGTTATATCATATTTCCCTTTGCTAAATGATAATATTACTGACCATCAAGCCATTTCCTTACTTGCTCAGCAATAGAATTTTGTCCTCCTATCTATGAGTTAATCTGCTCATAGCCAAATGTTTTAGCAAAACCTACTAGAATGAAGGCCAGAGGCAGGATGGTGGAACGTAGCAGAGCCAACTGACCATGAAATGACTAGCACTGTACTGTGACTATCTGATCTACCTGACCATAATCTCTGCCAATTAGAGCAGCTCAGGGTGGTACCTTGTATATTAATCATCCAGAATGCCACAAGACATCCATAATGCCACAGGTTTTGAATCAGGGAATTTTAGAACCTTAAAAGAGGACCATGAAATAGCAATATAACACCAGAATATGGTACAAACTGAAGATTTCCAGAACTATAATTACATCCTAATTGTGGCAGACTTTTATTTGGATATTTGCTGTGTTCAGGACATAGTGCTATGTGCTGAGATTACAAAGATGAAGAAAGAGAAGTTTCTCTCCACAAGGAGTATATAGGTTACGTGAAAAGCAGCACAGATTAATTAATTTTTTTAATGCTTATTGAAGTCTTATTACATGTCAGTCAACAGTTTAGGCATTGAAGATGTAATTGCAAACCAAAATGGAGTTCTTGCTCTCATGGAATTTGCATTTTTATGGGGAGAGAAAGTAGAAAATAAAAACAAGTAAAATATATATCAGGTAGTAATCAGTGATTTGGAGAAAATAAACCAGGGTAAAGGGAATGTACAATGATCAGAATGGGGTGCAGTGGAGCTTTTCTGTTTTATATAGGGTAGTCAGAAAAGGCCTTTTTTGGTAAGATCACATTTTAGGAGCTATGAAGGAATTTAGGGAGCAAAATATCTTGGGGAGAAACATGCTAGGAAGAAGAAATATCAAATGCTAAGGGCTGAGGTGTCATTGTGCTTGATATGGTTGAACAACAGTAAGAAGGCTATTATGCTAGAGCAAAATGAACAAAAGGAATGGTTGACAGGAGGTAATATCAAAGAGGCAGTAGAGGCCAGACTATTTATGGATTAAGCTTTAACAGGACAAGAAGTAGATTATGTCAGACTATTTATGGATTAAGCTTTAACAGGACAAGAAGTAGATTACGAGGCTATAGTACCACAATCTGAGTCAAAGATGATGGTAGCTTAGAGCACTATGATAGTGATGGGGACAAGAAAAAATAAACTTCTGGAATATTTTTAAGGCAGAAGTGACAGATTTTGTTGATGGATTAAGTTAAGGGACTGCAAGAAAGGTAGTCAAGAATACCTCAAGGTTTTTTATCTAGCAGTCAGAAGAATAAAGCTGTCATTTTCTGAAATGTGCAAAATTACAGGAGGAGCAGGTTGGGAGTGGGGAATAAGAATCAGGGTTTTGATTTTTGAGTAAGTTAATTTTGAGATGTCTATTGTTATTGAAGTGTAGACATTGAATAAACCACAAGAGGATAAATAATACCACCAGAAGCCTTTACTTGTTGACAAGATATAACAGTCAATAAGCACTGTTAGAGAAATTCAGTGAAAGAAGTGATTACTCTTTCCTTGTGTGATGATAGTGATGAATACCAGCATCTGGTTACAACATCATCATTTCCTGGTGAATGAGAAGACTAGGAGGTAGTATGGGAGGATGCTGCCTCCAGAATGTGCCATACAGAACCTCAAAGTAAGAACTTTACAGGATATCTAGTCTAATTCACTGCACATGTATGAATCCTTTCAAATAAAAATACATCCTTCCATAAGGAGCTAAGAAACTGCCATCTCAGGCCAATCCACAAGTCAGGTAACAATCAGGTATAAAGCTGTTCTTATCTTTGAAATAACATGCCTGTTGGGTCACAAGGCAAAGAGACAGAACACAGAAGACCTGGGGCAATGAATATGGC